GGAAACCCTGGCATGAGGATTGTAATCCAGGCAGTATATCTCTTTTCTATACTCCTTATATTGACGATGGGAAGCAGTTCTTGGCCATGTTCCCAAGTCTGCTGGGGAGCTGGCAAGTGACTTAGGAGAGATAAGTCGCACTCTGCTTACGGAACGAGTTCTGACTAGGGAACAGCATGGCCCGCTCCCTGAATTCATCAATTCCGTGTACTGTGATGGCCCATATGACCAGTTAAAGCTGGTCCGGGTTGGAAGGGTGTTGGGAGGAGAAAGCAACACCCCACCCTTGCAGCATGGGGCTATGAGGAGGGGCCTGATCAGGGCCTGCCAGTGAGGGTGATACACCTCTAAGGCCCCGGAACTTGATTATGATTGGTCAAGCCCAGAAGCCTGGAAGCTGGTGTGGGAGGTTGTCCTTTGGCCTTTCCCCTTTCCTTGGGAGAGAAGGCGGGGCTTCTCTCCCCCTTCCCTGTGTCCCTGTCCACCCCTCCTCTCTAAGAAAGCCCCAACTAGAATCTGCTGTTCGCCCAAGTTCCCCCAATCAATTCACTGCCTTTGAGCTGGACATTCTTCGTTTGTGGCCCTGGGCCCTCCCAGGCTTACCTTGGCTGTGTCTTCGGACCTCTTAACTTTCCAGCTTCCGGTTGTTTGACCAACAGGAGACACCAGGCTGGAGTCTGAGGGGCCGAGGGAGAGACGAGGTGGGGTATCGCCTCCCCTGGCCCCTCCTGCGCTGTGTGGGCCGCTGTGCTCCCCTGCCGGGCTCAGCTCAGTGGATTCCAGTAACCGCCCCTTGCCTTGGCCCCCACCTCCTCAACAGAGCACCTTCCCCTCACACCTGACTCTCCTCAGTGACTCTGTCTGGGTGCACCAGATGTGTCTTGGCCAGACTCTGATAGTCACACACCTTTACATGTTTTGTGTTAAACCGGAGAAAAACATGACACCAGCAGACTTGTCCAGGCTCCACCCCTTGCCTCACATCCCAGCCCAGTGGCCCCAACCAGCAGGATCTGCAGCTCTTGGAACTTGTTAAAAATGCATATTTCTTCCCTGGCTGGTTTGGTTCAGCCGTTAGAGTGTCGGCAGTGGACCAGAGAGTCCTGGGTTTGATTCTGGCCCAGGGCACGTACCTTGGTTGCGGTTTGTGCCCAGCCCTGGTTGGGGTCATGTGGGTGGCAACCAATTGATGTTTCTCTCTCACATCGATGTTTCTCTCTCTCTCTCCCTTTCTCCTTCCTGTTCTATCTGAAGATAAATGTAAAAATATCCTCGGGTGAGGATAAAATTTTTTAAAAATCCATATTTCTGTCTTGGCTGGGGAGCTCCGTTGGTTAGAGCATCTTTCCCCTATGCCGTGGTTCTGGGTTCGATTCCAAGTCAGGGCACATAAGAATCAACCAATGAATACGTGAATAAGTGGAACAACAAATTGACCTTTCTCTTTCCCTTCTTCTCTCTCTAAAATCAATTTAAAAATTAAAAATAATTTAAAATGCAAATTTCTACTGAGTCAGCAGCGGGGGTTGGGGCGGGACACAACAGCTTGCGGTGGTGGTGCTGTGTGCAGGGAGTCTCCCAGAGCCTCAGCCTCTCGGTCCCACTGTCCGGCCACTCACCTGGGACACGCGCAGTAGGGCGTTTGTGCTCATGGATCTTGCCTGTCATACTGGACATAAAGCAGAGCCACATGCTTTTGGCCTCTGCCTCCCAAGATAGACAGCCCTGATGGTATGTTTGGAGTCTGCACTCCTCAGTGACGGCACGTAAAAACAGCCAACCAGTCTATTAACCGTTTGCTCAGTAGAAGTTTAATGGAGAAATATCTGTTTAAAACAACCAGTCAAAAAGAACAGCTCTTTTACAAACAAGTTATGGCAGTGACAAGTCAAAACCCCGGGCTTGATGTCCTGTTCCTTTAACCCACCCCTAGAGAGGGAAGAGGTGGGCGAGAAGGAAAGACGGGGCCATTTAAATGTTAGCTGGAGGAATTACAAAAATACACTCTGATGTAGCAACTGGGTTGTCACGAAACATGCCATGGGGAGGGGGGGAGGAAAGACTGACGGGGAGGTTCTGCGCCCTGGGGGTGGAGACCTGGAGGCAAAGCCTGGCTCAGTGCCGTGGGAAGGAGGGAATCCGGATGCCCAGCCGGCAGGTCTGGGGCTGGAGACATGCTGTTTTGGGGACCACCCGGACACCTAGGGAGACAGAAATTATTGTAATGGCAAACCAGATAGTTTTACTGACCCTTCAACCCTATTCACCCTAGTGACTGAATGATGGCAAGGAAAAGCTACCAACCGAATAAACAGACCCTAAAACAGCAAGAGGGGTTCCTTAAATCCCTCTACACCTGCTTTCCCTGGCCCTAATATGTATCCTATTATAGACCTATGATATAGCAGACCATTATACTACAGTCCATTGGCGTGACTAACAGGATAAAGGGAGGTCGGTGGGCTGGCGTTTGACAGGCACAGGGTAGGCACCTTGCCCAGAAACAGTTCTCTTATCCCTGGTATGTGGAATCCATAGGTAGTAGTTTATTTCTTGAGGCTAAATTATATCCTCACCTATGGTTCTCTGACATTGCAAGTGCACTTTAAGCCTGATTTCACTAACTCCTCACCATGAACGAATATGCTCGCTTTCCACTGTCTGAAAGGGCCAAGGCCTGGGGCAGCGGGGAGGAGACAGTACAGGGACAGGGAAGGGGATGGTAGGCCCCCAGACCAGTTGTGTCCTCAGCATTCTGTCTGGATGGCTTCCGCACTGCAATGTCCCTCCTTCCTAACACGTTCTCATTAGGGCTCTTGAGCCCATTCCAGTGTTAGCCCCGCTTCCTCCAGCCTCATCAGTACAGATTGTCGCTGGACATCACAGAAGCATGGACAGGTCCTGGCAACTGGACTTCCCCAAGCTGGAGAAATCTCAAGGGTGTGGAGGGCTGGTTGGGGAATAAAGACAAGCTTTAAGCAGCCTGTTATGGACTCGTCAGTACACATCCATCTTGGAACTCAGCAACCGTGAGTGTGTGGAAAGAGATGGTGGCAGCGGGAGAAGGAGAACCATCAATAACACCCAAACAAGCTGGTTCATGCTTCTAGTGTTTCCATCAGGACGTTGACATCATGAGCCAAGCAGCAGACAGAAACCACTGACCAGTTTTATCTCAGTGCCGCTCAGTTGGAAGCTTAGAAAATGAAAAAGAAAAAAAACAAAAACAAAACCAATTGCTTGAAGAGGGGCGCTAATAGATTTTTTTTTAAAGAAAATAGAATTGATTCCTGCTAATGTGACTGCATTTAAACTGTCTTTAGGGAAAGAAAATGGCTGTACTTCAGAATTAGACACGAGCTTCAGTTCTTTTAAAGGCCACTGTATAGAAGAATGTCTTTAAGAGTTGAGAGAATTCAACCCATGCTACTTCTGAAAGATTTATTGTTAGGCGCTGTGTGGATATGGCTTAGGGAGAAATAGAATGCTTGTTAAAGATCCGAGACTATGACTTCAGAAACAGTGCAGGTTAATTCAGGGCCTTCAGAGATTAGTCACTCTGCTAAAATAAACACAGCAGCCTTCTCTCAGCCTAATCCATATGCCCATGCTTGGCAAGGGACCTCCTGCGAACAAGCTGGCTTACCTGCAGAGAGCCACGTGGGCTGCCTCCCTGCCGACGTGTGAGTGCCAAAGATGAACACGTGTATTAAAATACTTGGAAGAAAGATTATTAGCGACCTGGCTACCTTTGACGTATGAGATGCAACATAAAACAGCACATGCAGGCTTTTTCCTTTATGCCTCAGAGTCAGGGAAAAGCCCCACTTGGGTAATGTTTTAGACACGTTTTGGACCAACTGATCAGTTCTCTCTGTTAGGGCAAGTTTCTAGTCTGTTTGAGAAGATATGTGAGGCTCTAGAGATAATCTTATGCCCATATATGAATTAAGGAACATAGGCTTGATGGATTTTCTTAGATTTTCCAGAAAGTTCCACTGTGCTAGCTCTCTGTGCCACCAACGTTATGTATATAGGTGGGTGGGCCGAGGAAAGTTGGGTTTGTAGCGATTGGGCAATAAAGCAGGGTCTTTGATGTTTATTATCTGATATGTATTACAGGTATGTGTATAAGCATGGCTGTTGGGGTGGGAACAGGCAAGAAGGGAGAAAGGAAAAAGGGCAAGCACACAAACAAGACAAACCAAAAATGGCCCTGGAAAGAAGCGAAAAGTGAGGAAAAAGCTACTAGGGCGGTTGGGCCACATTCTCCAAGCTCAGTGATGATGCCGTCGACCACAAGGAGTCAGTCCATCTGGCCAGAAGGGAGGATGGGCGCATGACGAGTGGAAGAAAAGAGAGCAGAAGGTGTAGCTCCCGGTCCTAACAACAACCCCTTGACTGGGGGAGAGTGGGAAAGTGTCATGGTTTCCATGGAATCCAGTCACCTTGAGACACAGGAGAGAGATGGCTGGTAGCTAAGCTGTTTTTGAAGGTGAAATAGCAACGTCACAGCCACAGAAATTGGATTCTTTGCTAATGGCTAAGGGTAGGTCCAGCTACCGGTTCTTAGAGATAAAGTCTCTGAGGAAAGGTGAGCTGAATGGTTGCCATGGAAACTGAATAGGAGGATTGGTCCACTTAACTGTCCCCATAGTAACTAAGCTCCTGGAGAGTAATCGAGGAATTAGTTATCTTAACCTACTACTGTTATCTCCATGGTAACCGGTCTCTAAATGGCAGTGGTCAACCTTAAGAAACAATCCTAAAACAAATCTCTGCTCCCTAGAAAAAGGGTGGGCAGGAGTCAGCAGGGGGGTGAATTCACCTCCCAGGCCTCCCAGGAGCTGAACACCTTGGGGTGTGGGGTATGTGTGTTTGGGGGCTAACATGCTAAGACAGTTAGGCATATGAGGTTTCTTCCTGCCCCCAGCTCATTCCTGTCCAACTCACTCATGGGTTGAAGTGGACGGTGCAGCTGCGAGGGGCTCCCCTTCCGGCTACACATTACCATTCCGGTTCAGGGTGCGCCGGCGCTGGCTGGACTGCATGCTCAGGACCAGGTACTGCCTCATAAACTCACTGAACCGCTTCTGGTTGGCCAACTTCCGGGCCGACTTCCGGGCCCCAGTGAAGCCCCCAAACCTCTTCTGCAGCTGCTTTTCCTCCTTCTCTCCAGCCTCCTCTACACGGGCCTCTGTCTCTTTCTGCGCTTGGAATAGGCTCCTGACACGGGGCATTCGCTTCAGGTGCATCTCGGAGGCTCTTGGCTGGTAAAGAGCAGCTGCCAAGTGCTCTGGGTCAGTAGGGCTGAGCTGCCAGGAGCCCCTGGCCATGACCTTGGTGCATGGAGTCCAGAGAGGGGTGGACAAGACCTTTCCTTCACACTCGAGAATGCACACCTGCAAAGACAGAGATGGGAGGAAGGGGGAAAGGCCAGGGGGACATCTATGAATGCATGGCAATGCGGAGATAACGTCCCTCTGTCGTCCATATCTGTACCAACGCAAGTACTTCGAATGCACCTCTTGGTTAAGTACTGTGCCGCAGTTTTACATGTCATTAGTTAGGTGCATGGAATTTCAGAGTTGGAAAGAAACAGAAAACTATCTGGCTCGGCTCCACCATTTCACAGATGAAGAAACTTGGGGCTCAGAGAGGTGAGGTTAACTTCTCCCAGGTGACACAGTAAGTCAATGCAGAACCGGCGCACTAACACTGTACCCTTTATAGCCTTAGTTGTGTTTTTAGAGCCAAACACAGCTCACGAGGATCACCCATAAAGAAGCATTCTACTTTGTTCTTTTATCAGGCTTGGGGGAGGTCAGATTGGCTTAAGAAATTGGGGATGCCAATGCATGTAGTTAAATCTGCACAGTTACTTTAAGGTCACCTGGTGAAGATCAGTCCTGGTATTAATTTTTCATCCCTCTCCCCCCACTAGTTATCACTATCTGTGCATCATTTATAGAAAACGAAGGTCAAGGCCCTTTGGGATGTAGGTAGGTTGGGCAACCCGGTTCCAGGTAGGGAAGAGGGATCATCAGATACAATCCGGTTGTCCAGCCAGGCTCCTGGACACTTCCACTTCGGCCCTGTCTCTCCAGGCATCTCCCTCTTCCCATCTGGATCAGCAGCCTAACCATGATGTTTTCCCTGACTCCCCCTGACTGGTCCTGGTCTTCATCCCACTCTTCCACGTTCCGGTCTCCGCTTGAATCTCTTGGAAACTTGTGCCTCCAACTTTTCTCCTCCTCCTTCTTCTTTAAATAGGATACTCTCTTTTTTTTAAATTGATTTTTATTTTTAGAGAGAGAAGAAGGGAGAGAGTGATAGAAACATTGATGTAAGAAACATCGACCGGCTGCCTCCTGCACGCCCCCTACTGGGAATTGAGCCAGAAACCCAGGCATGTGCCCTGACTGGGAATAGAACCGGGACCTCTCAGTCCATGGGACAATGCTCAATCCACTGAGCCACACCGACCAGGCACCAACTTTTCTTCTTTTTTTAAATTTAAATTAAATTTTTTTTAAATTCTCAGGATACCCGAGTGGGAGGGCGGGGGAGAGAGAGAGGGACAGGGAGAGAGAGAGAAAGAGAGAGAGAGAGAGAGAGAGAGAGAGAGAGAGAGGGAGAGAGAAATATCAACGTGAAAGAGACACACCAACTGGTTGCCTCCCGTGCAACCCTGACCAGGGCTAGGGACTGAACCACAACTGAGGTACGTGTCCTTGACTGGAATCAAATCCAAGACTCCCTTGTCATTGGGCTGACACTAACCATGGAGCCAAACCGGCCAGGGCCGACATTTCTTCTTATTTGCTGTTTCTTCTTATTCTCCTCTCTGTTTCTGGCCTTAGCCAGATGAAATCCCACTTCGCCCTGACCTTGCCCTCATAGTCAGCAGGAAACTAGTCTTCCATCAAACCTTGGAGCTCTTGCCTGACCTACAGGGTTACTGCTCTGTCGGGGCAGATGAGGGACATCAGTGGTGGGGAAGACGGACCGGCAGATACAATCCATAGACCACTACGTGCCTGTAGTCCCTAGCGGGGGAGCCAAAACAGTCACCCAGGTCTTCAGGGTGGCACAGATGCCTCTCTGGGTGAGGTTTCCAACCAAGGAATGAGATGTGCAGGCAGCTTAGATCACACACCTCTCAGGCCATTCCACCAAAGCCTAGAGACTTCTTCAATATGACTTCTGCAAGTGTTTGCCACTTCTGATGCTCACCTCCTTTTGTCCCTGCTTGGTCTCTCAGTCTATTGTGTCCCTCTGAATGGCACCTTATTCCCTAGTTGACTCAGGTTTAGAACCCTGGATATATCCTCAGTCTCTCTCTTCTCACAAACCCCCTCTCCCCATCCAATCAGTATATAAATTTGCCCTCCTTCCCACCCCTTCTTCCTAAGGACCTCTTAGGGTGCAGTGGCTTCCTAATTGAGCTCCCCATCTCTGATCTTTACTGCACCAATTCATTTTCTACCCCTAGCAGAATAGTCTTCCTGAAGAATAGATCACATCACATCATGACTTGCCCATGAATACAGCTTCAAACTCTCGAGCTGAGCATTCATGCCCCATTGACCATCCATTCCTAACCCACCTTTCAGTCTTATTTCTGACTCCTCCTCAATTCTCCTGCCCTCCTCCAGGCTCTGGGGCTATTCCTAGTGCCTCGAACACACTCAAGCCCCAGCCTCCAACCCCACCTTGAATTTTCTCAGTCTGCCCCTCCATCCCTCTCTGGGCCTCCCAGGCTCCACTGCTACTCCTGTATGACCCTCTCCTCCCTCTTGTCCCCGCAGAACTTTGTACTGCTCTTGTGAAACTTGAATGCTTAATATCATTGTCACACCTTACAAGACGGAATATGACAAGTTAGGGGCTATATCTTACTCATGTTTGAATCCTCGACAGGGATTGTCTCTATCCAGTAAATAGCAGGGTTTCACTAGACGTCTGTTGCTCTGGGCAGAATTAATCAAGAAGCCACTTAATGTTTAGCTAAGCATGAGAAAGGAAAAAAATTTTTTTTTATTTTTTTTTTTATGGAACAAAAAGAAGAAAGACAAGAAAATCATCGGAAGGCCAGGAGTTGCAGCTGGTTGCAACCAGAACTCAAATTCCCCCCAGCGTTTACTGTACCTTTCACCTTTCGATCTAGTATTTGTCACTCTGTTGCAACTCTTTGTTTACTCGATTACTTGTCTGTCCCATTAGATCAAGGTTCCTAACCTTTTTTGGGTCATGGGCAGTCATCCATTGACTCCAGGCGAGGGACCTCTTCACTTGGCTGTAAGCTGTGCTGTAGGGAGGGTCTGTATGCATTCAGGCATCTAATACCCGGGACACAAAGTGGAGCCCTTAGTGAGGATGAGAAGCGGAGAGAATCAACAGGAGAAAGGAGGGGATCTGCAGCTGACGTCACCTAGTGGCCACACTGGAAAGTGGCCCCAACTCTTGTCGCACATCAGAAAACATTGCTTAGAATTATCGCCAGGAGGGACCTTGAGCCGTACCTGGTCCAGTGGATCCCACACTTGGGTGTGAGTCCAAATCATATTCTACAGAACTTGAAAAACACAGGATTTCAAAACCCAGTTAAATTTCTGAAGATTAGAACCAGAGCTTGAATTTATTTTTACAAAGCTCAGGCAATTCTGAAATTTGCCTAGGTTTGGAAACCACTGATCTAGTCCATATTCTTACGTGTTCCAATAAGATTCAGTAACATGTTCGGTATAATGTGAACAAGAACACAAAGGTCTCGAGTCCCATCCCAGGACATTCCTATTCAACAACTCATGTGTGCTTGCAACATCACGAATCGATGGAAATGAATGGGAGAATAGGATCCTACACGACCAAAAAGTTAAGTTCTGATGGGAAAATTGCTCATTTTCAAATTGCTGGACCAGAGTGGAGAAAGAGACAGAATCCAGGGACAGTGCCACTCTCCTTCACTGGTAAGGAGACCAAGAACACCCTTTGCCAAGCCCACACACTAGGCAGAGGTATCAGGTTGGCCCCTACTGACACTCAAGCTGTGTTTTTTTTTGAGCATGTCTTTTTCATTAGCTTTTCTTCAGAGAAGCTGGCAGAAGTAATACATGGTCAGTGCCAACTCAGCTGAGATACCCGAGAAACCTCTTTTCATACCCACAGTGCCACTGGGTATGAAAGAATAGGCAACATCCATAGATGGGGAGGGTGGACTTAGGAATAACGGAGTGTTCTGTGAGAATCACTGCTGGAGTTGGTTAGGATGCAAATGCTCAGCCTATTCCCCTGGAGATGCAGATTTGGTGAGCCAGAGGTGGGGCCCAGGAATGTACATTTTTTGCAAGCGCTCCTGGCGATTCTGAGGCTGGACTATGAGAAACCCTGTTTGGAACTTGCTCTGAGGAGAAAAAAGGCATCAGGGAACACGTGGCCAGGGATTCCATCAGAGACAGGCTCACATGGGTCTGTACTTAGCCTGCTCCCGAAACACTTTGAAGAAAACCGGGTAGAACTGCCCTGGCTGTTTGGCTCCGTGGTTAGAGCGTCGGCCCTGTGGACCAAAGGGTCTCGGGTTTGATTCCAGTCAAGGGCACGTACCTGGGTTGCAGGTTCGATCCCCGGTCCTGGTCGGGGTCATGTGGGAGGCAACTAGGCAACTAGTCAATGTGTCTCTCTCATGTTGGTGTTTCTCTCTCTCTCTCTCTCTCTCTCTCCCTCCTTCCCTCCCTTCTACTCTCTAAAAAGCAATGGAAAAATATCCTGGGGTGAGGATAAACACAAAAACAAAACAAAAACAAAAAATAATTTGTAACAGGTTCGTTTAGATCATAATCCTCTTGGATTATTACTCTACAGCAGTGGGTCTCAACTCGGGAGATTTTGCCCCTTCCCCCCAGGAACACTTGGCAATGTTTGGAGATATTTTGGGTTGTCACATGGTGGATGGGTAGGGGATGCTATTGCTATCTGTGGGTAGAGCCCAGGGGATGCTGCTGAACATCCTACAATGCACAGGACAGCCCCCCACCCCCGGCCCCAACCCCACAACAAATAGTTGTCCAGCCTAAACTGTCCTAAGTGGTGAGTCTGAGCAACTGTATTCTACAGAGTCAAGGGGATAGCAGGAAAGCATGGGTAGCACTTGGAAAGCCAGGAGGAGTGTCGAATTTTAACATTGAAATGGACCTTTGGGCACACCTGGTTCAATCCTCGCAGAATGATAGCCCCAAAATGCTTGTTGAATTGTTCTATATTTTTGCATTTACAGGAACAGGTGGAAGCTGTTAAATGTAAAGACTATTAGATCTTCTGCGAGTCCCTGGGGTTTCTAAGCCCAGATGGTAATTAGATTGTGTGTCAATCAGAAAAAATGAAATTCTATGATCAAACCAGATGCATAGCCCCCGTACCAAGACTCGTCATACTGTTAGATGAATTAGATACTAACAAAATCATCTCAGCTTGTGATTTAGGAAAAGGTTTTGGGCAAATGTGAGGAATCCAACTTCACAACAGCATTTGTAGCACCAGATGGGCATCAGAGCTTAATGCCGAACCGTCTGGTCTGAGGGACCCACCAGCCTCTTTCCAGAGACGGGTTAATAGCCTATTAAGCGAGTTGGATGCATTTTTGCAGCCCGCTCTGATGACATTGCTATATTAAGCCAGAGTGTGGGTGAGCATCTGGAAAGGCTCAGATGGATGCCAAATTGATCTCTAGAGCTGGGTTGTGGGGAAACTGAGCAAAGGGCCATTTGGATGTCTGGGATCACAGACTAGGGGACAGACACACGAGCCCATTAGAAGGAAAAGGATCTCATTCAGGCTGTCAGGTTTCTGACACTACAGAATCAAACCACTTCTGACCAAGGGACATTCGGGGCCTATTAGGAGGTTCTGCTAGACTATCTGAGGGCTGACTCCAGTAGGCCAGCGGATGAATAGTGCAAAAGAAAAACATATAAGGAACTCCTACTACACATCAACCACTAAGGGTTTTCAAGTAATGAAGATAGAAAGCGCTTAGGAGGCAGTTTTGTTCGCTTTTAGACTTTTAGGAAGTTTTAAATACATTTCCCCAGACCTCTCTTGAGGGTTACCTTTTTCTTTGTCTCTAAAACGTATAGTTTTGTGCTTCTTGAGCTGATGCAGTAAAGCGCCATCCACAACTAGCTGAAAAATCAGGACATTGCAATGGGTTTTGTATGTGAGCCATTTACTGACCAAAATTATAGCCTGAGAAAAAGCCAGCCATACTTGGACCATGGACTTGGAGTGAGAAATAAAGAAATTCTGATGAAGCCAGGGGCCCGAAAGGTCCTGGGAATAGCTCAGGATTATATAATTTGGGGGAGGGGTTGGGAAAGTGACTCTTGCTGAAACAACTGAGCCTCTCCTCCTGTCCCTCCCCCCATGATTCACAGACTGGACATACTCAAGAGCTGCAAGATTTGAAAATGAGATATGGTTGCCTACATTCTAGACATTTCATAAAACTATAAAAAACAAGGTTAAAAGTAAATGCAAACTGGAGACCAGACAACCAGGCAGCCAGCTCCTCTGGGGGTCAGCAGGCACTATGAAGGGTTTTCCCCTCACTGTAGGGCTATAACAGGCCATTTTCTAACTTGTTTCAAAGAAGTAACTAACAGTGTTGTCTGGACCCCAGAGATTTAAGATGCTGTGGAGACATGGGGACCTGCTCCAAATTCTTAACCAGTGTTGAAAGTCAACAATGTGAAAACTCTCCAGCATCTGTGGTGGGTGTACCTGTCAGGAGAGTGAAGGTCTCACACTTTTACAGTTTCCTCCGGCCCTATTTATTGAGCAATGCTCTGTGCTGCACAATGGACCTCGTGTGGGGGTGCCCAGAACCATCAGCAAAGGAAGCTCATAAATTATGGCGAGAGGCTGGCACACACAGGTCACTGTCAGAGCACAAAGGAGGGAGGAGCTGGCTCTATGGGGGGCAGGTCAGAATCAGCGAAGAGTTCTTTGTGAAGAGTTGGGACTTTATCAGGGTTTGAAGTACATGTAAGAGGAGGGGGAGACCTGTGCAAGATAGGAGGGCAGCTTCCTGGAGTGGCCGCAGGCCAGGAAAGGAAGGCGGGATTTCCGGGAAGCCCTGGAGAGTGATTGGCGCAGGGACCAGGTGCCGGTGACCTTTGGGCATTAGCGGGGCCTGGGGAGAGCAGAAGGCCTGGGTGCGGGGATGGACCTCACAGGGAGAGAGCGCACGGAGGTGAGAGGCAGGGATCTCGGCAGTCACTCTGTTTAGGGGGTGGGAAGAGGGACAGGAGCCCAACAGGAGGCAGAAAAACAAGAGTCAGTGCAGCGAAGAGCGAAGAGAGCCAGGTAAGTTCACCAAGAGAGGGCAAGGAGTGGGTAGCCTGCTGAGTGACGCTGCGGTGAGGGGTCAAGGTCACATCCTTCCGAAAAATGACAACAAAGGGAAAGAAAGAGCAGGTGGGAGAGGGGGAAGGGAGAACGCCCAGGAGGAAATCAGTGGTACGAGGGCAGGAGCACAGCCGGGAGGCAGGCGGGAGAATGAAGACAGACCCCGAGGTGGCGGAGAGGAGCCCAGGAGAACGTGTCCTTGCCCCCTGCTGTCGCTCCACAGGGCAGCCCAGGCCTGGTGTCCGAGGGGCGGGAAGGCACACTAGCGTTTTGCAACCAGGTGTTAGGTTTGTTATAAGGAGATCATGTAATCTGCGAATGAATTACCTTGTAGAAAATAGGTTAGAGCCGATTCAGTGTTATCCTTCTAGTTAAGTGCCTAGCCCTTTTATTGTAAAATACAGCAACACCAAATATACTGTTTTAACCATTTTAAAGTATACTGTCAGTGGCATTAAGTACACTCTCAAGGTTGGGCCATTGTTACCGCCACCCACCTTCCAACCTGAAACGCGTACCCATCAAACCTCTTACTCCCCATTTGCCCAGCTTGGGCAACCATCATTTTACTTTTCGTTTCTGTAAATTTGACCATTGCCACTATAAGTAGAATCAAACAGCATTTGTCCTTTTGTGTCTGGCTCTTCACTGAGCATAATGTCTTCAAGGTTCATCCACGTTGTTAACACTATCAGAATTTCCTTCCTTTTTAAGGCTGAGTAATATTCCACAGTCTGTAGGTACATTCTGTTGCTCTGTTCATTGTTGATGGACACTTGGGTTGTTTTCACCTTTTGGAGACAGTGAATAATGCTGCTATGGACATGGGTGTACAGGTGTCTTTTAAGGCCTGATGCTTTGTTGAGTGGGAGATAAACGGTTGCAGTTAAAGCTAACGATTCAGGAATTGTGCATAACCTCCAGTCTGGTCTCGGCTGCAACCTGAGGACCTCAACAGTGGCAATTCTGCGATTATTGCTTTGTCAGCTCGTTTACTGGTTTACATGCAAACTAATTTTCTTCTCTGTTTACTAAGACCAAGGGAAAGTGGTTTTTGGATGAATTTTTAAACTTCTCTGGGCTGCACAGAAAAGACATGAGGGCCTTCTGAGCTCTTGCCAATTCAGCTTTTCTCAGTCCCTAAATGTCACTCCCTTCCCTCCTGTGGACATTCGCATAGCCCCTCCCCTACTTGTCCCCAGCCTCCCTCTACTACCTGGGGCCCACTCCCTGCCTCATCACTCCCACTCATCTTTAGGTCTCTTTAGAGGCTTCGCTTCCTCCAAAAGCCCCCTCTGCCCCTCTTCGCTAGGTTGGGGTCTATTGCTCTGTGTTTGCCCAGCACCCACTAATTAACTCTTTCTTGGAGAGATTGTGGATTCTTCTCTCCCACTGGGTGCAAAGCCTATCCATCTGCTCACCTTTGCATCCCTTGTGCTAATCAGAAAAACCAGGATGGATGAATGAGAGGGGTGGATACATGTGAATGGATTATCTGGGAATGTTTTCCTTGATGCTGCAGTTATTCTGCTCAGAAAACAGGCTTGAAAACCACTGAGCTGGGGTGGGAAGAGCGTGGTGTTGGGCTGGGCCTGTTCATCACTTGTGTCTTAGTCCAGCTTGGATACTTGGTTTCTATATTTGGGCACTCGTCTTAAGGAACAGTAGTTATTCTTGGTTGTTTTTAAAGGTTGAGGAGTTTGAGACATGGCATCTTTTGAAAGAAGTTTATTTAACTACGAAGAAAAACAAACAAACAGTTGAATTACCTAAGATTTAATAGGAGAGGAATGACTATTTAGATAGAAATAAAAGCAGTGGAGAAAGCAGCTTATTTAATAAAAAGAAATTTAATGTCTGATTTGCACTTCAGATTCAAAATTTAAAATATAAGGGGGCATTTTAGGTGTTTATTTGTAGAATTTTCTGTAATATTAAAAATGGAGGGCAGCATACCTGTTCAACTGGGGAGGAAGAAAATGCTTCAACAAAGAAAGTATGCTGTATTCACAGAGAGAAACAACTTCATGTTTAGTAACACAGGAGAATTATCCTGGTGTAACATAGCAAGTGAAAACACGAGGATTCTTCCACTGACTGGTGGTATTAAATGTGATTTCAGCCCTGGCCGGTTTGGCTCAGTAGTTAAAGCATCAGCTCACAGATCAAAGAGTCTTGGGTTCGATTTGGGTCAAGGGTATGTACCTCAGTTTTGGTTCGGTCCCGGCTGGGTTTGGGATCGTGCGGGGGCGGTGACCAGTCGATGTAAGTCTCTCTCACGTCGATGTTACTTTCTCTCTCTCTCCCTACCTCCACTCTATCTGAAGATAAATGGAAGAATATTCTTGGGTGAGGATTATATAAAACAAAAGTGATTTCAATTTTCTTTTTTTAAACGTCTCTAATTTGCCAAATTCTCTACAACGAGTCTGCACTATTTTAACGATGGAACACAAGGGCAGGCCTTCATCTGAACGTGGAAAGTGGACAGATGACAGGGTTTGCCTTCAGAAGATGCTCAGGTCTGTTTGCTTTCCTACTGACCACATGGCACGGGGCAAGTCACGGGACCCCTGGGCAGCCTACCTCAAGGTTGAAGCTGTCAAGAGCTGGGCGGAGCTTCTCTCTGCAGGTCAGACAGTCCTTCTGACAGCTGCTGGACACGCTGGAGAAGAGGCTGAGCAGCAGGAGGTCACAAAGCAGGATTTTCATGGTGCAGGAGCGGCAGGCAAGATGCTGCAACACAGGGGAGGGTGGGTGGCAATTAGAACAGGCATTTGTTGGGGTCCGGCAGTGGCTGGAGACCCTCACACAGGGTATGCAGGGAAGACACTTTTCAGAGGGGACAGTGCTATGGCCTGAGATTCACCTCCCAGGAGGAGGCGGATTGTCAAGGGCACAGGTGGTCCGCTCCTGTCAGGCAGGCCCGATGTTCATGCAAGAGCTCGAATCAGGGCTCCTGGGGAGAGCACCCTTGTGAGTCCTGCCACCCAGCTGGTCTCAATATGCATGAGCACTTTCAGGGAGCTAAAGGCCTCACTGTGCAACTTAGCAGCGTGTGACCTTTAGGCATCCTCTCTGAACCTCAGTTTTCATAGCTTTCCAAAGGGAGTACAGTCACTTGCCACATAATGACGACTCAGTGAACAACGGACCACATCTATGATGGTCATCCCATGTTATAATGGAGCTAAAAAATTTCTATCCCCTGGTGACACGGTAGCCATCACAGTGTCACAGTACAACACGTTACTCCTGTGTGTGTGATGCTGGCGTAAACCTGTCCGGCCAGTCATATAAAAGTGTAGCAATACAATTATGTATGGTACATAATACTTGATGCGATAATAAATGACTGTGTTACTGACTTGTGTATTTACTGTACTAGTTATCATTATTTTAGAGTGTACTTTTCTATTTATAAAAGAATGTTTGCTGTAAAACTGTATGCTGTGCTACCCCGGCAGCAGCCTCACCCATCTCGTGTTTGCTGCATCTCTTGATTACATCATTTGCTCTAGTGCTTGGTTTCATCTGGTATTGTTTTGTCCAGTAACATGCTGAACAGGCTTGTAGCCAAGGAGCAGCAATAGTCTATCCCATACAGCCTAGATGTGCAGTGGGCTATGCCATCTAGGTTTGTGTAAGTTCACTGTACGGTGTTCACACAGCCATGAAATCGCTGAACAATGCATTTCTCACAATAGCTTTGTCATTCAGTGGCGCATGATGGCAGTGGTCACAGGGCCGATGCAAAGATAAGATGAGAGCTATAAGGGAATTTGCAAAGTGTCTTGAAAGAGCGAGATGTGTAAAATGTGAGATTTACAAGTGACCCATGTGCTTTGTCTCATCCTTCCCAGCCTTCCCTGCCTCGGCCAGGAATGCCCACATCTCAGAATTTGCTCTTTCAGGAGGTTTCTGCTAGGCTCCTCATCGGTTTCCCCTGCTAGTTGGAGCTAGCTTCCTGAGCACAGGGCCAACATGCTCGTTCCCCTGGCAATTCCATGCAAAGCACCGGACCAGACACATGGAATTATTTATTAAAAGAGGAACAAAGATCCGGCTGGTGTGGCTCAGTGGTTGAGTATCAGCCCATGCACCAAGAGGTTGCCAGTTCGATTCCAGGTCAGGACACAGGCTCAGGTTGTGGGCCCAATCCCCAGTGGGGGGCATACAGGAGGTAACCAGTTGATGTTCTCTCTCATGGATGTTTCTATCTCTCTCTCCCTCTCACTTCTTCTCTGTCTAAAATCAATAAAGGAAAAAAATGTAAAAAATTGAACAAAGAAAGCATTCTAAGATAATAGCTCCAATGATTGTTAGATCAGAAGTTTATATTCTTTTTTTTTTTTTATCCTCACCCGAGAACATTTTTCCATTTTCTGTTCAGACAGAGCGGGAGAGAGAGGAAGAGAGAGAGAGAGAAACATCGACGTGAAAGGGACACATCGAGTGGTTGCCACCCGCATGACCAACCAGGGCCGGGGACAAACTGCAACCGAGGTACGCGCCCTTAGCGGGAAATGAATCTGGGTCTCTCCGGACCACAGGCCAACACTCTAACTGCTGAGCCAAACCGGCCAGGGCAGAAGTTTATATTCTTTAGGATTTTCTGAAATGTGTTCAGTTTTCTCTTTTTCTCTTTAAATTTATCCTGTGATGAAACCTCCTGAATCACAAAGTGATTTTCTTGGACTGAATCATATGGGGCCCCTATCATATTGGGCTGCCTTTACTTGGAGGATTAAATGGAAAGGGGAACAAGGGGACTTTCTGGAAATGTTGGGAATGTTCTTGACTGAGGGATAGGTCACAGGGGTGTGTACATTTGCCAAAACTCATTGAATTTAAATTTAATTCTGTGCATTTCACTGTACATAGTTTTTTTTACCTTAATAAAGAGTTCAGTGTAGAAAAACAAAAATCATTGCCTTGATTGCTTTTTCATCAGACTATACTGAGAAAATGAACAAGACTTGCTACTCAAACACAGTCTGCAAACCTGCACACCAGCAGCACCTGGGATCTGGTTAGAAATGCAAACTTTCAGGCCCCACCCCAGGACCACCGAATTTGGACCTGCCTTTTTAGCAAGATTCTCAGGTGATTCAAACACACACTGCAGTTTGAGGAGGACTGGTAAGATATGGATGTGAAATGGAGCAAGTCACTAGGAGGAGGGATCCTGTAGACAAAGTCACCCAATGGCCACATTAGGAGACCACCCCAACTCTTCTTGTGTTCAACCCAAACATTGCATACCAAGAGGATGTTGACTGAAAGATGCTCAATCAGGTTTAAGTCAAAGAGTTGACACGTGAGATGGGTTTTGAATGATGAGTAAGTTTGGCAAGAGGACAAAGAAGAGGGTATTTGAAAGACACAGGAAACAGTGAGGGGATGGTGAACAGGCTGGTGCACGGGGGCCCTCTGCCCTCCTGGGAAAGCACCTGTTGAGAGAGAGAAACTGTCTGATGGAACAGGGTCTTGTTTGTTATCCTAAAGGGTTTGGGCTTTACCCTGCAGATGATGGGATGTTCCGGGCTCATGAATAATGAGCACACATATCTATACAAATGGATATATCGCAAATGCAGTTTTTCTTCTCTATCCCAAGGACAAGTGCCTTAGTTGACATTCATCGCTTGGGTTCTTGTGATAGCTTCCTAATTTGTTTGCCTAATGATCTGGCCTCCTATCAAACTACCCTTAAATCCGATGACGTGACTTTACACTGAAGAATTCTCTGACTCCTTCTGGGCTCAGCACCACTCCTGTTACTCACCCTGTGTCTCCTCCAACGTCCTGGTGAGTCATGGATAGGTCCTGACTCTGTCGGGTACTTAATGGTTTTGTGTCGTGGCACTTTCTCGTCCTCCTACCAAGAGTACACGTCTCCAACTCATGCTTCACACACACCTCCAGAGTCGTCCCCTCTGAGAAGCCATCTCCATGCCCTGGTTTGAGTTACGTGCATCTCTGCTGCCACGGCATCGTGAGGCAGCAGACGCTAGTGGGAAGCAAGGGATCAAGGGAGCCTGTCACACAGGCACAAGGGATCTGTGTCACAGAGTTGTTGTGAATGACGTTCTCCCATCAGCTCATTACTATAGAGCTGGGTTCAGATCCCAGCTCTGCAACTCAACCTCTCATCTGCAAAAATGGGAAAATAATAGTACCTATCTCGTATGACAACTAATGGGTTAATGTTTGTAAGCAGTTGAAATAGCACCTGGCACATAACAAGTACTCTATAAAAGCTTAGAAAGTAAAGACCCCAGCACCCAGCCTTCCCTCTGCAGTGCTCTTGTCGTCTCCTGCAGAGCACGTACCACACTCTCCTGTGAGCTTGGACGTATGTGTGTGTTTCTCCCACTGACCTGTGACTTCCTGAAGGGCAAGGATCATGTTCCATGGTTCTCTGCTTCCTGCACTCAGACAGGGCCAGGGACTTAGGAGGTGCTCAGAAATTTTGACAAATGACAGTGTCTTAGGAGCCCTCCTCCTTCTCCTTAGCAAAGGTAGATTCGGGGAATGTCTAGAAATCTGCCTCACTGGGGACCCAGGGTGCTGATGGCCCAGGGGCCACTTCAGCATCTGAGTCACTGACAAAGTGTCGATTAGCTACTTGTACAGTTTGGGGGGGAAGGAGGGAGGACTAGTTTTGTTCCAGAACAATGCAACATGCCACCCTAGGCTGGAAGCCCATGCTCGTTTTGGTAGAAGACCGCTGTGAGGCATGGTTGGAATAGTGTTGCGTGCTAAGTTTGTACAGGTCACAGATGTTGGTGGCCAAGCTGTGGAAGCCCATCACTACGTACAGGTTCTTTGGAAGAGAAAGTGTATCTTGAGTTCTAAACAGCCACCGTATAAGCCAATGTCTTAAACTGAGGACTGCTTGAATATGTCTTTATTTAATTTGAGAATTGCCTTTACATTTCTTATTCTACTAAATTTCAGTCTTTCTAGTCCGGAGACATTGTTGTGGAATTTGTCCAGAGTGGCATGGCTGTGCTCTCGATGGCCACATGATGGCAGCACCTGTATGTCACAGAAACAAAAGGAGGCTAGAAGAGGGACTGCTGCTTTTCCATCTTCGTACAAAATTGCAATGCACGTTGCATCGGCTGAGCTGATAAGTTGTGACAGATGTTAATAAAATGCTCTCCAGCTGAGGCTTTTCATGAACTGCATTAACTGCAGCAACTTGCCCATCCAGGAAATGTTTGGTGGGTTGATTGATATTTGTTACCTCAAATTCTGGCGAAATGGGTTTTTAGGGTGAGATGCAGAAGGAAAATGAGCTCCTGGGACACACAGCATGTGTTCCATTCGGTAGCCTTCCTGCATGTAAAAGGTGGGCCTTCTGTGGTTTGGCACTTGGGTAACCGTATTAAGCCTACTTGGCGTTAGCCTGGTCCTCCCTGCTCGTCCACCTCTCTTTTGGTCTCCAGACTCTCTAACCACCTCTGTGTCCCACCCCTCACTTTTTACAAGTGACTGAACCAATTATTAAAAAATCATCCATGCTCAGTGCTATTCATTCTCTTCTAAAATTCAAAGAACCCTTAAAATGGGAACGACCACATAGTCCTACCTCACAGGTGGTTTGTGATATTTAAATGAGATAGATATAAGTGAAAGCTCAGGATATGTGTAATTATCCTTAGCAAAAGGGCAATATTTTGTGATTTTTGGTACTCCTCACAACCCCTAGTATAAATGCGTACTAG